CTTAACCTTTCTAACTACCTAATGTACTTTTATAGGCATCTACCTACATATAGCTTCTATAATTCTTACATAAGCTTAAAAATTCTTTAAAGCAAAGTTTATACTAAGGTTATGTATAATGTAGTTTAGAGGTTTTTAATAAGTGTTAATCTAGCATTTATATAGTGCATCTTAGGTATCTTGTGCAGACATAGATTTTAGAAATGTAGTAGCCTAAAATAATATGTTTACATTAATAACATGTAGAACATCTTTATTATTAATTTATATAATGTTAATAATAACTTTATAGTTAAAGTAGGTGTTATTTTTAATTATAAACTTAAATTTTAATAAAGCTTAGTTATATAATTAGTAAAGGTAGTAAAACTTCTTAATCTCTTCTAGCACTATAGCATTAATGTTATAGCTAGCGCTAGTTAGCATCTTCTAGAGTCTTTTTATGCAGGGGTGTCTAAATTAGTAGTAAAGGCAGTAAAGTTCTAATTTAGTAAAAAAAGACATAAATCTTTTCTTACTAACATTAAAAAAAAGGTGTCTTTATTTTTATATAATAAAAATAGTAGTTTTATCTTTATATATAATACTATTTAAAATGTTATTAAAGTATGCCTTAAGTTAGTTAGCATTTACTAGTAATAGCAGAAATAGTGTTAAAGTTTTTAAAATATAGTATATAACTAGACTAATTAAGTTCTAGATTTATATAGTACTAATTAATCTTTTTAGTGTCTAGCTTTTAAAGCTAATATTTATTTAGCTAAGTGTCTAATTAATTTCTATATGTAGGTTTTTTTATATGTACACCTTAAGTTAAAACTTACTAATAGTAAAATTTTTTACTACGCTTGTGTTTTATAGTTTACCTTAGTATACTATATAGTATTAGTTATTAAGGATAAACTACTTAGCATATTTCTTAAGTTTAATGCTGTAGATGTCCTCTCCTGTTACATAGTATAGATAGGTAGTAGAGGTAAGGTAGTTAACAGCTTTTTTAGCATCCTTACTTTTTTATTCTATTTTCTTTATATTATACAAATTATTTTTTTAAGGTAACTTTTAAAGTCTTAAATGTATAAAGTAATAGCTTTATATAATAAAGTCTTATTATAGAAATTTTTATATAAGGCAACATACTAGTTCTTTACTTATGTATAGTTATTATAAGAGTAGTTTAATAACTAACATTTTTTCTTATAGTAGACAAAGCACTTCTTTATCTATGTGCAGTTGTCTCTAGATTATAGCCTAAACCTAGATAAAGATCTTTTATGTTGTTCTTTTCTACGCAGAGAGAAGCTTTTTTTTTATTATACAGAGTTATATTAGCAGTCTGTGTAGTATACATTAGGCAGTTTTTAGAGGTATTAGTTTACCTTTTAGTTTATAGTAACTTAAAGTAATGCTTATAAGTTACTAAATAAAGCTTTATATAAAAGCTTAATAGTAAACATTACATGTTCTAGTTCTAGTTATCTTTAATAAGCTTATATAACAGCAGTGTGCAGTAGAACATCTTCTTAAAATTTTATTTTTAGTGCCTTTTATATAAGTGTAAGCTTATTAATTATTATTTTAAAAACTTTATATAAACTTTTATTAAAGTTTTTTTATTAGCATTATATAAAAGTTATTACTATTTAGTTTATTTAGTACTAGCTATAGTTTATATTAGTGTTAAAGTAACTGCTTAAGGTGTTGTATAAATGCTTTTAGTTATGTCTAAGGCCTATGTTATACATATAGTATGTATTTACCTAACTTTTTAAGATATCTAAAAAGATGTCTATGTACTAAGTTTCCTAGATATCTAGCTATTAACATAAATTAATAAAGATTTTTATTTTATTTATAAAAATATTATATAGTTAACTTATATAGTTATTATTTTTTTTTATATTTTTTAAAATTATATAATTTTATCTACTAGAAGTTTTTCTTTAGCAGTTTCCCTCTAGGGTAGAAGTTTATATAGGTTGTAATGTAGTATAGATTGTGCAGGTGGTATTAGTAGTGCATACACTACTGCAGGCAGTAGTGTGTACAATTAAGGGTGTAGAGCAGGCGTTAGGTAGGGTGGCATGTATTATTTATACAGTAATTAGTGTAGTGCTAGCTAAGGTGTAGAAGTAAGTAATACTAGTATATTTAGTGTTAATAATAGTATTATGTTTAGTCTACTTTTATGTAAAGCCTTATATAGTAATAAAAGTTATATATAAAGCTTTTTTAGTGTAATTACTTTTTTTTATGCTATATTATACAGCTTTTAGGCTTAGGTACCTTTAGTGCCTAGCTATAGTGTAATTCTTTTATCCTTTAGCACTTATATAAGCTTCTTTTTAAACATGTAGCTAAGTGCTAAGAAGTTTTATAGTGTCTATTTTTTAAAATTTTTTATATATAAACTTAGAAAAGTAGTGCCCTTTTAAGTTATTATATATAAATTAGTAATTATATAACTTATATATAATTAAGTTTATAAGCTTATTAAAGCTTTTAACATGTTAATCTTATTATTCTAGTACTCTAGGCTAGTTTTATTTTATAGTGTTGCTTTTAATATCCCTATGTTCTTTATAAGTTATTTATATAATAAAAATTATTCTTTATTCTTTTTATTATTACGTAAAGTTGTTAGTTGCTAGTAGAATTTTATTATAATAGTATAGTTAATTGCTTTTCTAGTAGATTACGCAGGTACTACTATTATCTAGCTACTAAGTTATGCAGCTTTAATAGCTTTAGTGTGCGCCTTACACTATCTTCTTTTTACTTTGTATAGTAGCAGAGCTTGCTGTATAATACAAAAAATTAATCTACTATCCTAAAAAATAAGTAACTAAATAAAGTACTTTATAAAGTGTAAGTGCTTTATTATTACTCTTTTTAAAAAATAAGTAATAAAATAAAGTGCCTTATAAAGTATAGAGTTAATTACTTGTGCAGTAGATTGCGTAGGTACTGCTATTATTGTCTAGCTGCTAGGTTGTGCAGCTTTAATAGTTTTAGTGTGTGTTTTACACTATCTCCTCTTTACTTTATACAGTAGCAGGGCTTGCTGTATAATGTAAAGAATTAATCTACTATTCTAAAGAATAAGTAACTAAATAAAGTACCTTATAGAGCGTAAGTGCTCTGTTATTACTCTTCCTAGAGAATAAGTAATAAAATAAAGTACTTTATAAAGTGTAGGTACTTTATTATTACTTTTGCTAATTTATAGTTAATTAAATTAACTACTAATTAGTGTTAAATAGGCTCTAATAGCTAGCTACTTATAGTATAAGCACTTAAGTAGCAAGAGTAAGAGTAGTGTACAGTGTGTATAGCATATAAGGTAAGTAAGGTAAAGGTAATATGTTTCTAGTTTTATTACTTTTATCTTTCCTCTGTACAAAGGAAAAGGGGGATATCTAGATGTTCGCGCACAGAGGTTCGCGCACGAGCATTATGTGACATAGATACGTGATCCTGCTTGTGCGCGATCGCTCGTATCCAGGCCGTGACGCTGCTGCTGCGTACGGACATAGGACTTAAATAGTAAATTAACTCTCTACTTAGCCTATAAAAACTATTGCGCAGCTCTAGATAAGTGTAGGAAGCAGTTTTATAAGTAGCTTCTACTTAATACTTTTAATAAGCCTCTTTTAGAAAGGTTAGTGCGTAGTGTTAAAGTACCTTAAAAGGCACTTAAATACTATAGTGTTGTTAAGCTAAGCATCTTAAAGTGCTAAATATACAGTAAGTCTATTTAAAAAATAGCTATATATCTATTCTAAATTAACTTTTAATGTATCTAAGTATTAACTATCTACAAGGTTAAAAAATATAGTCTAATATAATAGCTATGCCCTTTATTTCTACTTTATTATTATTAATAACTAGATTAATAAGCTAACTATAATATTTATTTTATTTTAAACATATATTAGTTGCTCTTTTCTTTTTAATTATGCTTTAAAGGACGTTGTTAATTATTTAGTTAAAGTGATAGTTAACTATGTTACACCTAACATAACACCTAGTAAGTAAAAACATTTTATATATATTTAAAATGTATTTAGAACTAAACCTACTACTACAGCCTAGTTCTTATAAAGCTTAATGCTTTATTAATTTTATAATAACTACTATGTAGCTACGCTTTCTTAGATTTACTAGTCTTTTATAAATAAAAATTAAATTAGGCGTTTCTATACTAAGAACGCCTACTTACTTAGCTCTAAAGTAAGACTACTTATAGTGTACTAGCTAAGTATTATTAGCAGCGTTTCTTGCTAGTAGAAGAAGTAAGTATATTTTATAAATACATTTAGCATGCATTTCTAATATATCTAGCGCTATATCTAGAGCTACTATAATAATACTAATAGGGTTATAATTATCTGTTGCTATAAGCAGTAGTCCAGTCACATAGACCTGCCCTTGGCCACATCGAAATGCAGCTTCGTCAGTCCATACAATCCAGCTCCAGATTAGCTGGCACCAGGTGAGTGCAAGTTTGACCCACCATTCTCGATTCTTCATGTGCTGAGCAGTGAGCGGAGGCTTCTCAGTAGCTACTCTTCGATGGTATCGTTCTTTGTCAAATGCCTGCTTTAGTGCCTTCTTGCTAGCTTGAATCCCAAGCTCGTGAGCTATCTCTTGAAAAGGTTTCCTCCTCTGAATATGGGAGGCAGTAGCGTTCTCAACAAGGCGTCACCGAATTGGTGTATTCAGCAGAGGTCGTTGTCCTTGAGGCTTTTTCGGCGTCACCTGATCTCTCTGGGTGCAGAGATGGACTGTGGATAGAGGGATTTCGAGCTCTCGAGCAATATCGTGAAGAGTTAAGCCAGCATTGTATCGTAGGGCATGGATTCGGGCGCGTTCAGTATGACTGAGGCGACGAAGAGGTGTTTTTGGAGCCATATTGGTAAGATTTTAGGTGTAAGAAGGATACTGAGTCACCAGTGTTGTTTGAAAAGTACAGAGATTTGTAAGCCACAGGTGACTGCTCAGATGCGTCTCGTATTTCCAGCCCGCTCAGGCCTCTCCCTTGTATCCAAGGCGATCGTCCATCTCAAGTGGCAAATACTTGTCCACAATTCTGCACGTGGACATCTTGGTCAGTTGATCTTGGGTGTACTCGAAGGTTCGATGTGGCAAATTTGCAAGCTCTATATTCGTGCTGATCCCCGGCCCTCTATGAAACAAAGGGAATAATAAATATATGATAGTAAATAAGAATAGTTCAAATGGTCCTAGCCCTTGTTACCCTCAACATTACATATCCAAACCCTTCCATGGCTAGTACCAATACCAATCATATTCTTAGATACTGTAACACATGACTGCCGATATTCTGATGGTAGCCATAAGATGTTCTCCGAATTGTAGGTTATCCACATACGATCCGAACTTATGCCTATGCCTTGATTGACTTTGCCAACGTCTGAGCCAGACGCCAGCCGTGTCGAGTCGGGCGAGAAGGCGGCTGAGGTGACGGCCCTGCTATGGCCCTCGAGCGTCGAGAGGCACGCGCTCCATGTATCGTCCATAGCTGGCTGTATTGCAATCCATTTTGGGTCTTCGCTTTTAAAAAGTCCTCTTATTAAGCTTTAAGTGGTGCTGAATAGGAGTGCAGAAGCATACGCCTGAAGAGGGTAGTTCTCTATTGCCTACTTGTGAGACACAATAAATCAGCGCGCATCTTTCACTAGTTTATTTAACGCAGATGCATATGTTCTTCCCTAGGCTACCTTAGCGTACATTTTCTATAGCATCACAAATGTATAGTTTATCTGCATAAGGACCTTAAGTTTCGCCATTAACACTACTCCTTTTAATATGCTCTAGAAAATGCTAAGAGCCTCTAGCTAGTAGAGATATTGCTGTCTTAAAAAGCTGTTAACAGCGCCTTCGACCTGCAGATTAATTTTATCCTCTGCAGAAGAGCTAGGATTCCCGTCACAGAAGTGATCGATCCAGTAGATGCATAGGTAGCGTGCCGCTGCTAGTAGATCTGGGTCTGGCGGCTCAATATGCTCGGCTAGATATCCTAGCGCACCTAGTCTGCACATATCTTGTTAGAGCGTTGTAGACATGATATAGAGCGATCTTGAAAAGAGTGCGTAGTAGAACTCTTCCCTGCCAGATGGAAAGATGTTCTCTAGAACCTTTTTAAGTAAGAAGTCCTTCGCTAATTAATGTACAAAATAGACTGTTCTGTCCTAAACTGTAAGGAACAACCTGCAGAGGATAATAATCTCTTGCAAAGACTTAATATCACCCAACCTCTTTAAGCTGCTTAATAAGCGATCCTAGCTCTTGTAATGTGACAGGTTAGTAAACAGTCGCGACCGAGGCTAGTATCCGCTTGCAGAGGTCTGCGTCGTCTGAGTGGCTTATTTAGTCTAGCGTTTGACTATACAGAGAATTTAGCCCAGGGGGAAACGCTCCTAGCTTCGCGAGCACCTTATATTGCAGTATTTTCTTAAGATCTTCACACACTAATGCTACCTAGAGGAAGGTGCCATCTGCGTTTAAGAAAAGGTGGTGCTGCACTAACTCTTGTGTATTGCTATTGTACTTCTTTTCTTGCGCTAGTTAAAGCACCTTCTGCTAGATAAAGATGCTAACAGCAGTAGAGACAGACTCTGCGTTTAGTTTAAAGCTTAGCTTTACCCTGTGTCCCGCTCTCGCAAGCTGTTCTTTAATGTCTGGCTAGTTGCGGCTAGAGACGATCCACTTAACACAAGGCGGCGCAGAAGACTGCTAGGCAATAAAGTTAAGCTGCTTTAGCAGGTCTACTACACACTTGTCTAGCGCGTTAATAATTAGATACGTGCAGCTAAAGCTTAGGTCTTGCAAGATATTTATAAAGATCTTAGACAAGGCAAACTAGACATTTGCATCCTTAAAGAGCGCTTTGCCTGCGTAATTGTACTTCCTCTGTATATAAGGGACAAGAGATGGCTGCTAGTTAACAAACAAGTATAGCGGACCTTGTAGCACGGCTGTGGCGTTGTTAATTTGTACATTTGTGGCCTGGCAAAATAAGTAGGACAGAATATTTGTCTTAGCAATTAACTTGTTTAGCTTGTTAATAATGCTACAGAGCAGCATTATCTTGCCCTTGCCAGCATTGCCCTTAATCTACAGCAGTTAGCTCTGCTGGTCGCTGTGCTATTGTCAGAATTCAGAGTTTTTAAGGATCTAACAGTACAAGTCCTTTAGCAGTCTACCATTAGTTTTCTTAATTCGCTTCTTGTCATCGCGGGGGTTAGTTAGACGCAAATGTTAGATACAATTCTCTAGCTTGTCACTCTCGCTTATAAGCTGTTTAAACGCTGTTGCCGCCCCTTTACTGTAGATGGGGGCTATGTGAACACTAAATACCCTCTATAGGGAATACGCTTTATCTTCTGCAAGCTTAGTCTAGCGGTGTCCTATCCACAACAATTGCTTATTAACGCTAAACTGTGATAACAGGCCTTCTTAAAGTGCTAATTAGGGGATACTTGTTATTTTGTAGATTAGTTGTCTAAGCAAGCTTTTATTACTAAGTTGCTTGCGTTCTCTAGAGTAAAACATAATAGAGCATAAAGCAAGAAGCTCTTGCAGCGTCTAACTACAAGTAAACTACCTGCTTTCCTAGAAATCTACTTCCTAGGGCCTAGCATTCGTTTTCTTGTTACTATTAGAAGGAGGCCTAGGAACATCTGCTAAGAAGACATAGCATTAAGTCGCGTTTTGGTACCAGCAAAACATAGATCTAATGGCCTAGGACAGTTTAGCCTTGTTTGTCTTGTTAATGCAACAGGTGTCTATCTAAAACTATTCTAGACCATCCTATGCAGCTTGTTCTCCGCAGAACTAGATCTTCTTATAGCCAGGCTTATCCTTGCCTGTACTATTTGTTAGGTCATTAAAGGTGACCTCCTTAGTATCCGCTCCCCAGGTATGCAAAAGTATCGCATAGCGAGGGGCAGCCTCGTCAGGAAACAGAGTGAGACTGAAATCGCTAGTATTGCTGCATCGCAAAAGCCGCATTGTTTCGCATTAGCTGGACAGGTGCGAGCGGCAGGAGTGGGTTCGGCTGGGCTTAAACGTGGCAGCCTAGCTGAAGACGCAAGCAGGGCGACTCGCTTGTTTGTTAAAGATCAGTCCTAGCTATGCAGGTTAGCAAGCATGTAGAAGCACTTAGACGTTATGCTATAGCAAAGTATTACGTCTGCGAGCGCTACACTGCAAGGCAAGGCTGCCATGCCCTGCTGTATCAAACGCTTGGTGAGGTGTGAGTTGGGGTGTGTTAGGCGTGGGCTGCACAGCCCACAATGTGGCGCAATACGGCTGACATGCTGAACGCGGATTCGCATGCGACTGGGCCGAATCTGCTTCTCTTGAGAGGCGGATGAACACCTTGTGTGACGCTAGCAGGGAGGACGGCCGAACCGCACCTGCCAGCAATACAAGGGGGGCTCATGTACGGGTTGCCCCCCCCCCCCCGTCAACGCCACTTGGGGGCCAAATTTGACGCTGAATCTCACAATCCTTCTCCCTGATCTCCTCCTCCTCATCAACATACCTACTTTACGAAGTCTACAATGCCCTCCCTCCACTGTGTACGGCCAAATTGAACCTAAGCGCGTGATCGCGTAGCTACACCTGCCTCCTCTACTAGTGATTAACTATCCTATCGCCAGCGCGTTGAAATCCTTACGCTGCGTAACTTTGCAGGGTGGGGATATACCTGTATTAGCACCTCTTTACAGATACCTTAATTAACTGTACAATATACAATTAATCACCCTAAAACGCCTTGAAAGCTGCAAGGTAGAGCTCCTATCCTTAATACCCTAAAGCGACAGCGCTTAATACAACGTGCGACAATTAATGGATATTACAGGAGACTCCCCCTCACTGAGATAGCTGCTCTTGAGGGTATAGAGGCCTATAAGCGTACGCTCTTTACTGCGTTTAAGAAGGAGAGATACTTTTGCTGCGTAGCTACTAAGAAGCCTCTCCTTACAGAGAAACACCGCTAGGATTAGTTACAGTGGGCCTATACGCATAAAGATTAGACTAATTAGCAGTAGGCACGCGTAATATGGACAGATAAGTGCTTAATTGCCTGTAGGAGCTTTAGGAAGGTGTACGTAACTCGCCAGGTAGAGGAGAAGTATCTACTAAGCTGTTGCGTACCTAAATTTTAAGGTTATTCTGCGTGCATGATATAGGCCTGTATAACAAGCTACAGCAAAGGGCCTCTTGTAGTAATAGAGAAGGATTAGGGTAACATCTGCAGTAAACTCTACTGTAGGGAGATTGTACCTGTAATTTATAGGTTTAAAGAAGTCTATAAATTAGTAGCTGTAGTGCCTATCTTAATAGAGGATAGAGCCTTATCTTATACAGCATAGAGGACTTAAGCTCTACACAACAAGCTTAGGATCCTCTATATAGTATAGCTAGCTAATTTACCTAATTTAAACCTAATTAAGAATGTGTGGAGGATCCTAAAGTATTGCATTAGCAGGAGGTTTCTAAAAACTGCTAAAGAAGTACGTTAATATGCAGAGGAGAAGTAGGCTAAGCTTAATCTATCTGACTTTCTAAAGTATGTAACAAACATGAGGGAGCGCTGCATGGCTGTAATAGAGGCAGGAGGAGGCCATACAAAGTGGTAAAAGGTCTTTAATTCTCTATATAATTGAAATCACACTTAGCAGAATTAAATCCTTAATCAAGAGCATTAAATCGAGAGATTCAGCGTCAAATTTGGCCCCCAAGTGGCGTTGACAGGGGGGGGGGGGGGCAACCCGTACATGAGCCCCCCTTGTACAGGGGGCTCTCATGAGCGAACTGTACCGCGTGCACAAGCCGACATCCGTGCGTAGAATATTCTGAATAAATTACAAGATTTTGTAAGCAGCTCTCTAACAAACTTACGTCCCTTGTTTAGCTCACTCCACTAACAAGATACACTATAATGCTAAAGACACTAAATTAACAACTAACGTACAAGAAGCGTATACAGATCCACACCCTACGCGAGATAGGCTGGAAACAAAAGGATATCTCTTAGAAACTTAGGATACCTCTTTCTACAGTCTCTCTCTGCCTCTGCACGCCTAAGACGCCTACAAAGCCTAAGGGACAGTCTCCTATTCTATCTACTCTATTCTAAATCCTCCTTGTACAGCATGCGACTAAGAACGCTAAGCAACAACAGAAAACTTAAAAGGAGATAGCTTAAGAGCTAGGGATAACAGTCTATTAGCGTACGCTTATTAAGGCCTTTAAGAAGAAGCTTTATTATTGCTGTAAGGCTACAGAGAAACCCTTCCTCACTAAGCAACACAAGGCAGACTAGGTTTAGTAGGCATAGAAGCACCTTAACTGGAGCGACGATTAATAGGCTGGTATAGGCTAGAGCGACAATATAAGCGCCTAGGCTAGCCCTAGCGAAGTGTGGGTGACAAGGCGCGCTAAGGAGCGCTTCCTGCCTGCCTGCTGCGTTGCTAGATTTAAGGGCTACTCTAGCTGCATAGTGTGGGCAATGATATTAAGGGATATAAAGGGCCCTCTAGTTGTGTACAAGAAGAGCTAGTGTATAAATAAGAAGCAGTTAATTAACTTAGAAGTATATATTAAGCACATCCTGCCTCTAGTTATGACCTTTTAAGACGTGTACACAGAGTACACAGGCAAGGAGCTAACCTTAATAGAGGATAACGCATCTATCTATACATCAAAGGCCACAATAGCTGCTGAGCAGGCCCTAGGTATCCCAAAGATCTCATAGCCAGCGAACTCACCTAACCTTAACCCTATTGAGAACGTCTGGCAGATCTTAAAATACTGCCTAGGGAAGCGTTTTCTAAAGACTAATAACAAGGTAAGGCAGTATCTCCTTAAAGAATAGAAGAAATTGTCCTTTAGTAACTACAATAAGTACATAAAGTTAATAAGGGAGCGCTGTTAGGCAGTTATCTAGGCTAAAGGGGGACATACAAAGTGGTGAGACAATGTGTTAATATAATAATTATTTGTATGTATTTTACATAGAAAACAGCATTTTAAGAGCATTCAAGACTCGTGGGCCTGTGCGCGCGGTACAGCCCGTTCATGGGAGGGGGTTGTATGGCATCTAAAATGGGGCCACTTCCTTCCTATACAGCTTGTATGTGAACCGTTAAAATTTTGTGGGACATCCAACGAGGGGTTGGAGTGGCCGTGGCTGCCGCTGGGAAGCTTGAGGTATGGCAAAAGCCTTTTCGTCTCCAACCTTGCAATAGCCCGATCTTGGAACCAAGGGCCCGGAACAGGCCCACTGCGGGAACTAAAATGGAGCCCGTGGCAAGCGAGGCATGGTTTACTAATCGACGTACCGTGCGTCAAATCATCGCACCAAATAGGGATACGCGGGTACTAGAATGGGCCTCTAGGAGGATTCGAAACAGGTTTACTGTAAAGCCCGGATGTATATGCCCTCGTCTGAGGGCTGCGCCACAGAAGTAAGAGCGGCACTATGCCCTTCATCAATGTCTCCAGCAAGTCTCTGCAACACCACCCCCATGAAGCCACCCCAAAATCCCTCATTCCCTTCATCCCTCCCATACCTAATCACATTCCGCCAAAGCCTTAGCGCCCTAAAGATGCCGCTCACACTCCTGGTCTCGCAGAGACCTAACGAGCCAACCTCTGGTCCCAGGATATGCACAACATCCCTTTCTTCCGATGCCATGTACGCAAGATAAACGTGTGTCTCATGTCCGACGATAGCGAAGCAGGGTTCTACTAGGCCGCTCTTATCTACCAGCCCTACGCGCCGCGCGAGCTGCATCTTCTTCCGTAGGCTGGCTGCGATCCATACGCTTAGTTGGTATTCAGCTTCTGTGTGATCGCCGTTGGCAGGCTTGACCTCTATGCAGGAGAAGAGGGCAGTCGTCTTCGTGAATGCGTCGGCCATGTGGCTCACGACGGGGTTGCCCGCGGTTCTCAGGCCGTTGTATAGGTCTTCGAAACCTGGGAATGGCATGTGGGAGAATGAGAGTGTGAAGTCTGCTTTGCGATTAAGGAGGCGGGGTTTTCCAGAGACATCGGGGACGGAGGAAAGGAGATCAGTAGTAATGACCTGGGATTGCCTGTTCAGAGATCAGCATTGAGTGCAAGTGAAGCAAAGGGTTACGTACACGCTCTGAAGCCAGAATTTCTCCTTTCCTTCAAGCCTCATTGCGAGCTTCACCAGCGGTCGGATCACGTCCATGCACCACGCGTTCTCATCGCGGCCCCTTGACTGGCATAATCTCGCATTCAGCCAGATCTTCTTCACCTTACGCAGCACGTACGCGAGTCTTTCACGCTCCTCGCCCCCAACGTCCAGATCCGAGGGGCTACTCGCCGTGTTCTGGTCCCAGGCATGGCGCTCAATCCTTTGGTATCCAAAATCTCGGTCTTCCTCGATTGTTTCCCGCAACCACCCCGGTATCCAACCGCTGTCCAGGCCGTCTTCTAGTCGCTCCATGACATCCCTTACTCTTCGCGGCGGCGGTGTCTTCAGCCCTGAACTCGGTTCCGTTATCGTCGGAGGGGATGCGGAAGCCAGCACAGTGACATTATCGCGGGACGGGCTGTTCGCTCGGCGAGGGCTTCTAGTGCCGGCTTGGCTACTAGGCGGACTGAAGGTGTTCCTCTCATTGAGTATGAGAGCGCTCGCACTTGAGGCCGCTCCGGCCGCCGATACACTGTGGGTAGGTAGGACTTCGGTGTCGGTATCGCGTCTGGGACGCTTGTGACTGGTGGTACGTGTTGACATTGTAGAGGTTACGGGTGCGGACGACACACGCTTCCGCTTCGGCGATGGGCGGCTCTCAGGCGTCGACGGCGGGGAGAGAGCGTTCGCCCGGGCTGAGGCCGCTTCGGAAAGCTGTTGGATCCAGCCTTCCACGCGTGTTGTCTTCACGGCAGCAATCGAGGGCGATAATGGCGGCGTCGTAGCCATAATGGCCGGGATGGGCTGGCGGTTGCCTATCTGCGAGGTCTGATGCAAGACACTCAACGCGGCTAGAGCACGCTTAAATGTGTTGTCTTGGAAACGGAGGTAGAGAGCCCACTGGAGAGAGCGTTCTCACAACCACGAAAGCGCAACAGCCGAGTAATGTGTGTGGGACGACATGATGTATTCGAAGACTAACGAGTCCCAGATTATTTGCTGAAGCCTTAGGGTGAGATGGGTATATATCTGTGCTTTAGTGGAAGTGCTGTTTCCTGCGAAGTTTTGTTGTTTCCTGTTCGTGCAGGTCCTTACCCAAAGGAGATTGGCAGCTCGGTGTATCGGCAAAATAATCTGCCGGTGCCAGGGTCGCATGGTTCGGGAACCAAAACAAAACTTGCCGTGTAAGCGAAACGCCTGCTTAATTTTGCCACTTTTGCAAACACGTTGACTCCGAACTCGTCCACAGTTGCCCTCTATGGCATCTAAAAAATCCAAAGGGTTTAAAATGTCTCAATCCGAACCAGTCATAAACACTCTACCTCGGAAGAAGCTGTCTCCCTGGTATGAACGCGTCTACCGCCTCGTGGCTGTCACGGAGGTCGAAAGCGAGGGCCCGCTAGTCTAGTTATGGACCATACCTAGAGGATTTTGATGAGGATATTTCAGAACTAGAATCGCAAAGCAGTAGCGCATGTCGCTGCGCCTCGGATACTTCTGAATGCGAGTGCGATCTTGACGAACGCGATTTCACGGACGAGGATTCTGCGTACACCGGTTCCGAGACGGTGGAATGGTACCTGGAGTATAGGGAGATGCGAGAAGAGCGAAAAAGGCAACTTATTATACTACGCAAAGAACACGAGCGTGTGATTGAGTATCACAAAGCGCGGGAAAATGAGGTGGAGAAAGAATGGGCCGAGCTTAAGCAGAAAAATAGTTCATAAATGATCAGTAAAAGCAGAGCTTGCTTAGAGTAATAGTTAGCGCATTAAGGTAGGTTGTTTAGGTTAAAGAATAGTTGTAGCATAATGCTTAGCAAAGTAGTATTAGATAGATAATAGACACATAACAACAACATTTAACTACAGCACGTAACTAATCACAGCCTGCAACTAAGCGTAGCTAATATGTTTGCAGTTACGGAGCTCTCCATGCGCTAGCCACCAACACTCCTTTGGCGTACTGCTGCCTAGCAATGCCACCTGCTGCAGCCTAGAGCTATTGGTGGCCTTAAGTCACATGATGGGTTCATCTAGTACTATATAAACCCGTAGTTGCCCTCCTTTAGCAATACAATGCAGTTCCTCATGTCTCTGGTGCCTCACATAGCTTCACATAATACTAATCCTTAACACACTAATGTAGCTAATGCTAATCTCTAACACACTAATGTAGCTAAAAAAGTAGAATAAGCATAACTAACTATAATTTAAACATGTTTTACATAACAAATGCTAGAGCAAACTGCGTGTAAATTAATATAAAAGTGTACTGTTACAACCCACAATTGGACCGTAAGCAACTAGTCAGCTGTGCCCCACTGTTTAAACAATCAAGGACAGAAAGTCCTTGATTCCCTGCCCGACAGATCACGTGATCTAACAGACAAGGAATGGACTAAGCTCTTAGACTAATGTGCGGCGGAGTGCGTTGTCTAATAAGAAAGGAACGTTTGCATGCTAATGTATGCATGTCAGATTGAAGCACTGTTTCTGGGCTTCCTGAGATGAATGATGGGTTTGGATATGATGTATGGGGTGATTGATTGATTGTATTGATCGTGTTCATTTATCGATCCTTTTTCTGCTCTACTCGTGTTGCTCGGCTTTTTGTTTTGCCGATCCGAGTCCCTCGCGCACTTGCCCTATGCGCGACCAGCTTGCAAAATGCTGCAATTTGCTGCAACATGCTGCAAAATGCTGCAATTTGCAGCAACATACTGTTCGAGCTTATTGCTCGTACTATGTAGCAGCTTTCGTCAAGCGTTCCTCCTGTCTTGACAGTAGGTGCGCAAATCTGACAATGCAATGCACGCAAACATGTGATAAAGATTGTTGCATGCAACAGCTTGCAACAACATGTAAATGCATGCAACCCTATATATATAGTTTAAGATTCTAACTTTACTTAGAAGCTATAATTAATAGTTAGTTTATTTTTTACATAGACTAAGTAGCATTACTACTTTTTATTAAAAAGTAATCTAGTTATATATTTTGCACTATATATACCTTCTTTTTTGTTCTACCTAAGGAACTGTTTAACCTAAGCGCCTTATACTGCTATTGTAGAGCAAACTATAGTTAGCCGCCCCTCCTAGTCCTAGTAACTGCACCCTAACAGACTATATGTAAGGCCGAGATGGCGCTTACGTGCGACGGGTATATATACTATTGTTAGATATGCGCACCTACTGTCAAGACAGGAGGAACGCTGGACGAAAGCTGCTACATAGTACGAGCAATAAGCTCGAATAGTATGTTGCTGCAAATTGCTGCATGTTGTACCATTTTGCAACAAATTGCAGCATGTTGCAGCATTTTGCAACAAATTACAGCATGTTGCAGCAGTTTGCAACAAATTGCAGCATGTTGCAGCATTTTGCAATATTTTGCAACAAATTGCAGCATGTTGCTGCATTTTGCAATATTTTGCAACAAATTGCAGCATGTTGCAGCATTTTGCAATATTTTGCAACAAATTGCAGCATGTTGCAGCATTTTGCAATATTTTGCAACAAATTGCAGCATGTTGCAAGCTGGTCGCGCATAGGGCTAGTGCGCGAGGGACTCGGACCGGAAAAAGAAAGCCGAGCAACACGAGCAGAGCAGACAAAAAAAATCAATCAATCAATACAATCAATCATCATCCCATACATCATATCCAAAACCCATCATTCATCTCAGGAAGCCTAGAAACAGTGCTACAATCTGACAAAAAGTAATACTAATTATATATTTTACACTATAACGTACTTCACGGGCGAGTTGCTCACACACCCGAGTCGCTCACTTTTGCCAAGACCCCACCCTAACAAACTCTATTATGGCCCATAACAACTCGCTCTGGCACTATATAGTACAGTACAGCCTAGAATATCATTTAGATACTAATTCTGCTTCTTGCTTACACGTTCGCGCGTTATGCCCAGTCTAATTGCACTGTCCGCAGCGCCTTTAGGATGGCTCACCCACTTCAGCTCGCACCTGCTTCTTCGCCTTCTTCCTGTCACTGCGCGCCCTAAACTCCTTTAGAGCTGTTAAGCGCAGGCCTTCCTAAATTATTAAGGTCCCTTCTACCTTAATTTACTTTCTTTTATGTAATTTATGTTATGTAGCAGCCTTATTAGCTGCTTAAAGCTTAGTAATTTTTTATTATGCTAACACTAGCTTATACATAATTATTACTGCCCTCTTTAAGACCTTCTTAAACACTTTAACTATAAAAGTTAGTAAACTATTTATATGCTTTTAAATTTTTATTTTTATAAGCATTAATTACAACCTAAGTTCTAGGGTATTGCTTAAGGTTTACAACTGCTAAGGCTTATTATATACAGGTAGTAGTAGTAATAAAGTGCGTAACTTTACATTAAGGCCTATTATAACTTATTATAGGTTAAAAGGAACTAATCTAGCGCCTTAGAACCCTTTTTAGATATTACTAAAAGTAATTACAGCATTATAAGCTACTTTAAAGCATAGTAGGAACTTTATCTTTATAATATAAGTAATTTAGTTGCGCATAAAGTTTTTAGCTTAGCACTTATATACTTTCTTTAAAGAAGTAAAACAACCTACATTAAGTAGCTATAAAAAGTGTAATAAGTAAAAAAGTATATAAATAGTAATAATTTTATTATCTTTATAGTATTACTAAAAATAAAGTAAGTTATAGCTTTTATAGCTATTAATAACTAGCAGATAGTAGCTGCTAACAGTACACTTCTTTATATGCATGTTAAAGTGCTTTAACTAGTCTAGACTAAGCTAATTAGCAGTCTAGCTGCGCTTAGAGATTATAATAACTTAATTCTAAAGTAGATTTTTCTTTTTATACTAGTTTAAAAAGTAGTTGCTACCTTAAAAAATAATAAAAAGCAAAATAGCCTACTTTTTAGCATTAATGCTTTAGATAGCTGTTATCTACTCCTAGTTACCTAGCTAGACTGCTTTTAGCTGTCCTTGTCTCTCTAAACTTATAACAACTACTTTAGTAGATATTTAGCCTATTATAAACCTTATTTTATTAAAGTTGTATGTATTATTATCTTAAATGCTATACTTAGCTTTAATATTCTCTATAAGGTTAAACTAGCTTTAAATTACTATAAAATCCTTATAAAAGGCTTTTTTATAGTTATACTTATGCTTAAACTTTACTTTAAGCTTTAAGTAACACTTAATAAATGTATTAAGCTAGTTTATACTAATATAGCCTATATTACACTTAGCGTGTAAAGAATTAGCTATATTAGCTATAGCTGCTAGCTAAAGGGGAAATCCTTGCGCATCTAGCTTAAGTATGTGCTAAATAATTACTTACTTTTTATTATTATCTAGCTTTTATAAGTTAGCTGTATAATTAGCTTAGAAAGGTTGTCTAGCGCGTTAGTTGCTTATTATTTTTTAAGAAACTTTATAAATAGCTGCAGCGCGTTGCTTTAAAAGTGTTATGTCTTATTTAAAAGCCTAAAGTATAAGCTATATCTAACATTTCTTTAACACGTCTAAGTAGTATTATTAGAAATGCATTAGTGTAAAAAGGGTAGTGTAGTAGGGTCTTAGCAAAAGTAAGCGACTTAGGTGTGTGAGCAACTTGCCTGTAAAGTACGTTATATACTTTTATTTTATTCTACAAGAACTGTTTAACCTAAGCACTTTATACTACTGTTAAAGGGCAAACTACAGTTAGCCTACCTCTTCTTATCCCTTAACAACGGCTTAGCGGACTGTACACCTGTAGAGAGTCTAAGTTCCTTCCTCTCTACAAAACCTTAATCATCCTCTAGGCCCTGTGTACTCCGGACGCTATTCCTTTGAAGTAAAGATTATAACAGAAGCTTTCTAAGAACTAAAGAAAATTATAACTAGCAAACTAGTAGTATTAATGTACAACCCCTGCCTTAAGACTAAGCTATATATAGATGCATTGCTAAGAGCTAAAGAAGCAGTGTTCCTCTAGAAACAGAAAAACAAATAATAGCATCTAGTAGTATATTACTTAGCAAAATTCTTCTTGTTAGAATAAAACTACAGTATCCTAGACAAAGAACTTAAGGCTATAGTAAATGTGCTAAGAGCATAAAAAACTAAACTATAAAGTATAAAGCAACACTTTATTATCTTTATAGACTATACTAACTTAGTTACCTTTCTAATAACAAAAAAACTGTTACTAATACATGTGTAATAGGCTATAGAGTTAGCCTAGTTTAACTTTGTAATAAAGCATGTTATAGAAACTAATAATTAGCAAGCAGATGCTTTAAGCTAATGCCTAGACTATTTTAAAGAAAACAAAGAAGATACTAAAGAATTTACATTATTTAAAAAAATAAACAAAGGACTAGTTTATAATAGACTAGCCCTAAAGAAGTTAATTATAACCTTTGTAATAGCAGAATAGAGATAGAAAAACCTTGTTAGAGAATACTATAAGGCCTTTATATTTAGACACCTAGGAATTAAAATACTTTAGAAATAAATTAAAGCTATAATTCTCTAAAGTGTTCTCTAACTAAAATAACTATACACAGAAACTCTTTAAAAATGTAATACTTATAACAAAAATAATTTTAGGCAGCATAAAATATATAGCTACCTATAACTAATTAAAGCTCTAGAACAGCCTTAGACTATAATAATAATAGACTTTATTACTAGACTTTCTTTATTACGTAAACTAAGAATAGAGAGACTTGATAATATAATAGCAGTTATCTTAGACAAGACAACAAAGTTTCTATATATATAGCCTACTAAGAAAAGTATTACAGCTAAAGAATTTATATATAAACTAGAATAAAATGTAATTTTAGTTTATAAATGCCTATAGATTATTATCTCTAATAGAGATAAGTTATTTACAAGCAAGTTTTAAGAAGCAGTAATAAGACATCTAGGGATAAAACACAGGTTATCTATAGCATACCACCTATAGACAGACAGCTAGACAGAAAGGCTAAATGCTAAGGTAAAAAGGTATTTAAGAAAGTACATGTTCTATAACTAGATAAATTAGGCAGAACAGCTTTCTATAGCACAGCTAGCTATTAACACTGTAGAATCTGCTACTATAAAAGAAACATTGTATAAGGCTGACTTTACCTATTACCCTTACTTTACACTCTATAGCACGCAACTAACAGACCTACTAGAAACTACTACCTATCTCTTTTAACTATTAGAACTGCATTAAAAGTTAGTAGTTAAAGCTAAGGTAAGCTAAAAAAATAATTAAATAAAACATAAATAAAGCTTAAAAAGAAGTGCTTATAATCTAGCTTAGAGATTATATATATCTTAAAACTTAAAATCTCTACACTCTTAAACTATCTTAGAAACTTATAGAGAAGCGCATTAGCCTATATAAGGTACTTTAGACATAGAAGGATAATTGCAAACTTAAGTTTCTAAAGAAAATGCGCATACACCCCTAGTTTTATACCTTAAAGCTTAAAAAAGCATTAAAAAAATACCCCTCTTTATAATAAAGTAAAGAGATATTAAAGTAAAATATAAAGTTAAGCAAATAATTAATGCCTAAAAAAAAGAAATTCTTAGTAA